AGTGTTGGCCAAAATCCTAAGTTGATTATAAAAATTTTGTTTTAAATTCTAAAAACTAAAAATATAATTTATTATATATTTAGTTAGATATATATCTAATGCATGCACACACAAACACCGAGTTGGTGGAACCAACAGACAACTTGCCAAAATCTAAAACTCTTATCCAGATAGTCTTGAACAGAAATGGCAATATTAAAAAAAGATTTAAAAGCAAACTTATTCAGTAAAATGCTTGAAGTTACACCAAACAAAAAACACTTAACAACATTACATCCTATGAAAGGATGGCTCTAGTCTAACTCAAGTTTTACACTCATGCGATCTTCAGACAACTTGAATGGAAATGAAAGAAGGGAGGGGTAGGCTTTATATAGCCCATGAATCACCCTAAAGCATCATGGGGAGAAAAACTTTCACCAAAAAAAAAACCATGGATAACCATCCCTATAAAGAAAAAAAAAAAAGAAATTATGTCAAGAAAAAAAATTGTTTGCTTAGTATTATTTTACTCAGTTCTTTTTCATTCCTTTTGTTTGAAAACTTTGCCAATTACTCTTCATTATATCTAATGTAATTTTTATTTAGGTTTTTTGTGTATCTATTTAGTGCTTGAAATGGTAGCAAATTTATTATAATGCCAACAGTTAGTATTTCTAAATGTAGATGAACCACAAAAAATTGAAGGCTAATTTCTTAGGAAAGTTATTCCCTCCTTGTTTTATTTCCACCCTTTTTAAAATACATTTTGAAAGATTTGAGACATTTCACGCCTTTGTTGTAGTTTTTTATTGTTTCGATTTTGACACCAAATACCATCACCGTTTCTTGGTTCTTCCAGATTTACCGATTTTTGGTGTTAGAAATTATTTCTTTGTTGAAGATCGTTTGATAAGATTTTGAAAGGAAAAGAGCTTCAGCTGGAAATTGAATAAAAATAATTTAAGAGAAAACCATTGAATATTAAAACTTGTATTCCCTGCTGTTTCCAAAGACTTAAAAATTCTTTAGAGATTCTGCTACATATGCTTTAACAGCAAGCCAAGGATTTTATAGGATATGTCAGACCATATAGATATTTACAAACTGTAGCCAATTGGTCACAATTAGTGGAGGTCCCAGCAAAGAGGGGGGAGGCTTATGGCCATGACACATTGAAACGCCGGTTCTCATATGATCACTGAAAAGCAATATTGAGCCTGGTCAATACCCAGATGGGTGACTGCTTGTGAATACTAGGTGCTGTAAGTTTGGTTGTGAAAGTGCTGCAATGGATAATGGCTTGGCATGAGAATTTGGAGAGCTGAGTTTAATTTGCAGTCGTCTTTGTTATCTTCACTTATATGTAAATACCCACCTTTTCTCCTCCTAGATATGGGTTAAATAATAGGACTTGTATTAGAATATTTCCTCCCCAAAATTCTTACAATCCAAAAGATATGTTTTGGCTTAAAGTAACCTACAAAAGGATAAGCTGTAAAAAAAACAAATAAGTCAATAAAACCCTGTAAAAGGGTTGGTACTAAAGATTTTATAATTGCTAGAGCAAATCTCTACATTTATTTTTCTCTTCTTTGATACTTGTCTCAAAAGAAAAAATACATTTCGGGAGCTTTTCATTAAAAAAAAAAAAAAATCAAATGCAGCCATTCCTCATTTGACCATGCAATAAAAATTCATAAAATAAAAAAAATCTAAACAGTTGTGTGTTTTTTTTTTTTTTTGTTTGTTTGTTTTTATTTTTGTTTTACTACTTTTTCATCGAATACAAGGCTCAAGAGCCACTCAAGGAAATGGGTTAATTAGTAGAACTTGTATCAGTAAATTATTATTATCATTATTATTATTATTATTTATTAAAAATTCTTAGAATCTAAAAAAAAAAAAAAAAAAAAAGTCTTCTGGCTTTAGATAACTTGCAAAAGGTTGATAAGCCATAAAAAAAGCAAATCAATCACTCCAGCATCATATTTTGTACATTTTATGGAAACCTTGATGATGATTATCTTATTCTTTCAAAAGGAATCAAGTAAAATGAAGAAATAATAAAGTGAAAAATAATTCAAAATTTACATGTATCATGTTTCCAGCATGTAAACGAAATTAATGTACTGAATATCAAAAACTGATTTTCAAATTTCTTTCTTAATTTACTGATTCTTACACAAGTGTACAGACATTTAGAAATAAATTTGAAATGTAACAAATGCTGCAAAAGTGATATCAAAATTACCCATTACATATGTTGCAAGCCTGAAATAGAAGTCAGGTCATGCTTCTCATTTAGCAACCAGGTCATTGGAACCTGGTCACTAAGTGAGGAGTGGCTGTATTTTCATTTGGGCTAATTTCCTCATCTTTGTGGACCCCCTCCACCAAATATTTGAGTTGTATATTCTTCAGGTGTCTGTTTCATTATTGAACATCATCAAATTTTGGGACAGCTTGTATATTTCCTTCCACATATCATGTCTGCTTCTTTTATGTATCCATGTACCCCTGGGATAGCCCCTCCTCCAGCAAAAGAATAAAAACAAAACTTGCAAATGGTAAAAGCATTTAGCCTGAAAATATTCAGAAAAGAATTTTAATTTCATGTTTTGTTTTTTTTTTTAAATTCTAAAAGAATTTTTGTAAAATCCAAATCCCCATTGCAGCAATCCCTATTGAAACAATTTAGCACCTCCCAAAAGAATATAACCTCTGTTCCATAATAGTTGCTACATTTGCAAGTGCATTTCATACACTAATTGTAACAACTATTATGGGACAGAGGTAGCAATTTTGTAACTCTATTTTTTTTACAGAAGTCTCCTTGACATAAAACCTGTGATACAATAAATGCTTAGCTGTACACTTGATTCAATAAAGAAGAACTGAAAATAAACACTTTTCTTTAAAAATTTTATGAAACTGAACAAAGGAAAATATAGATGTGAATTTTTTTGAAAAAATATCGTAATCTGTCCCATAATATTTACAACATTTAGTGTAGGAAACATGTAAGCAAATGGTTCAATTATTATGGAACAGAAGTAGGATTATATAAATAATAATAGACTATGTCTGTCTACCGTCTCACCCAGCTCAAATAGCAGATTTCCATCCACCTTTGCCTAATAAATCTGATCAACATTCTTCTCTGCTCGATTTGTCCCTTACCTTATCTCCCGGCTCAAATGGCGGATTTCCCCCCTCATTTCCCTTATAAATCTGATCAATATTCTTCTGCTTGATTTGTCCTTTCCCTCCACTCCTATCTATCGTTGAGTATCACAACTTTGTCCTCTTGCCAATTCAGTCCATCCTATATTATTTACTGATATTTCTTTTCGGTCGTCTATTAGAAAGGAACTTTTCATTCACAAGACTTCTTTTCATACTGATTGTGATTTTTTTTTTTTTTTCTTGACTTTCTTTTTTGATGCCCCTTTGGAATTATATCATTAACTTTGTATTGAGAATTCTGCAACTGAGATTTCTTTTTGAGTTAAAGTTGGCATCAATTATTTTGTACCTTCTTGGAAATCTCTGGTGAAAGCACAATCTTTTTGATTCGTACTTTCCTATTGAGCTGCTATAGTCCACAGGAATCACTTTTTCCAACTGTACCAGCATTACAGTTCTGATCACATCAAATGTCTCTTTATGTCTGCTCATAATAATTGTCAATGCACCCTCATTGAGATTATGTCTTTGTTGATAGTGGCTATACAGTCCATCATTCTAACAAGTTTGGTTCATGTGACTACTGGCAGCTTTGCAATAGTGTGTTAAATAAGAATAAGTCTTCATCCCCCTCCTCTCACTCACTTTGAAGTTTTGATTATCAGCCTATTAGTCTTCTACTTTATTTTGGCCAAATACTAGAGGTACTAATTAATTCTGAATTGTTTAAGCATTTTACATTGCAGGGTCTTCTTTCAGATAAGCAATATGACTTTTGCTTCTCAAGGTCAATTGCTGATGTATTAACAAATTTTGCTTAAAGAGTCCATCAAGAATGCTGAAGCTTGGGCTGTTGCTTTGGATATCTCATAGGCATTTGACAGCATTGAATGGTTACAGTATTTCTTGACCAATTTTTGATTTGATTTAATCTTATCAAATTACATAATGAAAGTTGTCTTGAATGGCCACTCTTCTAGATCTTTTTGCATTAATGCAAGTATCCCTCCTAGGGCTCTATTCTTGGACCTACATTGTTCCTAATTTTCATCAGTGACATTCTCAATTCAGTATCCATCTCTTTCAATCATTTCAGAGAACCACTTTGCCTTCCATCAGCATGGCTGATGCTAACACCCAAGGAGAATGACTCACTGTGACTAACGTTTTCTACTGACATGAAGTGGAAAGATTATATTGACTCAACTGCTACTAAGGAAGTTGGTTCACTGTGTTGTGAAAGACAATATTTCTTGCCAGATTCACATTTATAAGTTAAGCATCCATCCATGTATTGAATATTGCTGCCATGTCTGGTTTGGTGCTTCTGCTATGTATCTACAGAATATTGACAAAATCCAAAGGAGGAATCTGCAATATTATTGGTCCTAACCTGTCATTTCATCTTCATTCACTTTCCCACCTGCTGTGCCTTTTCTACATTTTCATAATTTGTTCCTCTTTGGTGCCTCGAATTTACAAATTTAAGCGTACTATTAGATTGGCAGAAAGAGTTGAAATGGTTAGATGTTAGCCGTAAGTTATAAGCAGAGAGTTTCTTCTCTCGCACTTCTCACTTGTGGACCTATCTTTCAGTTTCTTTCTTTCCAGTAAACTTCAAAAATTAAAATTTAAATGCAATGTCAGTTTTTATTTTTTGTTTTCTTAATTCCTCTTTTATTCTTCTCTTTCTTTAATGATTTTTCCTTTTCTCATATTCTTTCACACTCAGTAACTCCTTGTGTCTTAGTGACTTTATTGTCTTGCTTGTGGTGAAATGATTAAAAATTTTATCCTCATTTTTCTTGTTTTAATAATCATGTATTTGCTGCCATTATTAATTTTTAACGTTTTTCTTTAATTTTAGTTGATTTTAATCACAGCTTACCAGATTAGTCTCATAATGACAAGTGATATTTGTACCAATGATTTTTGCCAAACTTGAAATAGTTTTTAAGAGCCTTACAAAAAGTTGGTAAAAAAATTGGTATGATCATTAAAATCACTGAATCCTGGAGAATTGAGAAGACTTGCTTTCAGCTGATCTCCAGTAAACATTTATCAAAAACAAATAAAAACCTTGATGAGAACAACTAATAAAGTAAGCAATATTGTTTACATTATTATAATGAAGGCAACACACTGAAAAAGAATATAAAGTTGTCTAAGGAATGGATGGATTTTATTTTTAATCTGAAATTTTTCATTGTTTAAACATTATTTTTGTGGATACACATTTGAGTATTATCTTAAACATTACTAATTGCAGACTCAATAGACTTTATAAAGAAATATGTGCTTTCTGATAGCATTCAAACCTGTGTCCTCTTTGTATGGACCAGAGAGTAGTTTCCCCTTCAAAGAGGGATGTGCAGGTTCAAACCCTACTTGAGAGTACTTTTTTAATTTGTTTATTATGTGTTTTGAATGCACAGGTTGATACATGGATTTCACACTATTTTAAATTTAAAAACAAAAAAAAACAAAAAAAAACACAAGGAGTCTACTCAAATGTGGGTATCCAGAAAAATAAAATTTAGAGCCATAAAGAAATAATGTCAGATTAAAAATAGAATCTATTCAATCTTTAGAAATCAATTTGTTTGTATTTAGGATAGAAAAATCAAAAAGTCAGCAGATATAGACTTTGAAGCATTTGAAATCTGAACGAGATGTGCATTCTTTAAAAGGATAATTGAACCATGGGGGGCTGTGATGCTCTCTGTGGCCTAGTGGTCTAAAGTACACCCCCCAACAAAGGGGGGGTGTACTTTAGACCACTTGGTCACAGAAAGTAAAGTTGTAAAGAATATGAGAGAAAGGAAAGAAAATGGGAGAAGGAAAAGTTAAGAGACGGACAAAAAAAAAAAAAAAAAAAAAACCCTGAAACCATTCTGGACATGGCTATAGAGAGGGAAACGTTAAGAGAAACAGAATGCTTTATCATTACTGTCCAGAATAAACTGCACAAAAGCAAAGATTTGCAAACCCCAGAGAAACAGGAAGTGGCACATTTGAGGGAAATGAGATGAAATGGTAAACCACGTAAGACAAGGTAGCAGAATGGCCCAAAAATAGAAAAAGGAAAAATAATAATGAAGACAGTCTAAAAAGAATACCAAAGTACACATGACAGGGTAGCAACAGACATACATTGGGAATAGTACAAATGATTTAACTTTTTTCTCTGGGCTGCATTTTTGGAATTAAAATTTGTTCACACCTCACCAAATTTTATGTGATAAAAAGTTAAAAATAAAAATAACCAAGAGAGAGTTAAAGGAAGATAACCATGGATTTGAACTCAGAACATTATCATTGATAACTCTCTCCTCCAATTTGCAAACCCTAGTTCCTATATTTTTAATACTTGATATAATACAAAAATATCACAATGATAAAATTGGTCAAGGAATATTTATAACTATTTCTACTGGGACTCATACATGTAATTACAAGTAATCCATAATAATATTTTAAATTTTGAAATCATATTTATTTTGTGGCATTCATGAATTTTTTTCAAACGTTTCTCTTTGATTGTCTTTCAATCATTCCGCCTCACTTGCTATCCTCTTCCGCTGCATCTATAAGGTGCACCACACTGTTTGGGAACCACTGGTGTAGACAAACAGTAACAGCATAAACAAGAGACTATTCTAGAAAGTAAAAATGACAAAATATTTGAAGATTTCAACACACAAACCAATCATTGCATCCAAGTGAACAGCCAGATCTAATAATCATAAAGGGGGAGGAGGAGAACCTCTTGCCAGATCATAGATGTAGTTGTACCAGTGAATATAAAAGAGAGTGGGAAATTAGAGAAATATCAGGACCTTGCCTGGGAGCTGAGAATGATATGTAATATGTGTTGTAGAGTAGTTTTCACAGTGGAGGCTTGTATTTTGCTAAGTCGGTCCTAAAAAGGGTCCGACGTACAAAACGTTAGGAACTTGAAATAAGAGTTAATGACGCAGCAATCTAGTTGTGATGGTTGATACTTCAATGTCCGACATCGACTGACTCACTCAACACCACTGAGCTCAACTAGTGACCGCTACTACTACTTATTATTACATTTTATTAGAGAGTTTATTACAATAGAATAGGTAATGTTCTGGTATAACGATATGAAAGCTAGAATCATATTGATAATAGCAGGTGAACTTGGAACTGTGGCAAAAACATTGGAATTGAGATGTCGTGGAAACCTGAGGTAGGGTTGAGACTGTACAAAGCATGGTGTTGCTGATGTCAGTGAAGATACCCTAGAAGATGCTGGAGATCCAAAAGGACTTCCTGTCACTCAGAAATTAATTTTGAAGTACAAGGAAGGCTTGCTATCTCTTGAGCCCTACGAATAACTACCAAACATTTAAATAATAATGATGAATACTATTTACATTATTCGGACTATTATCCTCATCTTTGTTGCCATATTTATTACGTTTCGGCCTTCTTCAGGTTGTTGGAATGTCGAACTGAACCATTTATTTCGCTTACACTGAGGACACATGGCATTAGTTAGATCCAAAGAGTGTGAGTTCAATACCCGGTTAAGGCAGTGGAGAACTTGGAGAGGGGAATTAACAAGAGATAACTGACATCCATTAGACATGGCACATAGAACTAGAACAGTCTACCCCAGCGAGCGAAATAAAAGGTTCAGTTCAACCACCTGAAGAAGGCTGGAGTACACAATGGTTGAAACATTGTAATAAATATGGCGACAAAGATGAGGACAATAGTCTGAATAATGTAAATAGTGTACATAATACCTCATCTCAGAAATATAGACAGATAATAACGATGAATATTAAAGAAAGTCATGTAGAGGATTCTGCTATTTCTCAAAGCCTAGCAATAACATACACAGGTAATTAAATAATATGTAATTGGAAGGATTTGTACAGTGAAAATCAACAGTCAAACTGTAAGCAACATGCCAACAGTCACGGGACAGTTGCAAACACAAAAGCAGTAATCAAACTGTCACAAGCATACCAGTAGTTACTAAACTGGTGATCACTGTTGTGTTTGCAACACCACAACGGTCACCAAAGTGTGTCAAAAACAATAATGGTTACCAAAGTGTCATCAATGTATCAGCAGTTACCAAACTTTCATCTATGTGTTAACAGTCACCAACTGTTTCTAAATTGTTACCAATCATCATCAAACTGCAAAAGCAGTCAGAATACATCTATCTGCTATCCAGCTGTTTATAGAAGCACCTAAGACATCTGCAACTGGTCAGATCAAAAATTTGCATACCCTGCCAATTTCTTTATCAATGAGTTGGAGAACTGGCTTGGGTTTATATTTTCAGCAGAGTATAGGCACATGACACGTGCATGTTTTATCCAACAAGGAAAGTGATTTGTTCTGCTACATAATAATAATAAATAACGAAACTTTAGCAAATACTGATTTATTCTGATTGGCATTTTTCTGTCTTGCTAATCATCATCACGTCATTTCAAAATAAGAAATTCATTCAGCATATTGAAAGATATGAAATCAAATTATTTCAATCACAAACTAAATTAAAAATAGAACAAAGCTAATAAGGTTGGAATTGATCAAGGTGCAATAATGTTTGCCTACGTTGTCAAATTATCAAACGGGAACTGATTTTGTTGAGAAAATTTTCAACTGATAGTATTATTAAAAAGAAAAAAAATGTGATCAAAGCAAAAAACAAGAATTGACACATTTTCACTGAAAGATCACCAACAATTACACATAAGGACTATCACTGCTCAAGTGTTTTATTTCTATAAAAACGGAATATACAATCCTTATCACATTATTACAAAAATGAGAAGAATAAATTTTTTTTATTGTTCTTCATTATCAATTTTTTTTTTTTTTTTTAAATCATTAAAAATTTTTGGACAGGCAAAGGATTAAAAAAAAACTTTTCTCCCAAAGTTTAAAAGAAAATGTTGAAATGAAGGGATTTGGAAAGTCGATTGGGGAAACTAACAAAAAGTGATATGTAATTTTTCTGAAATTTTTTTTCTCTGTAAAATACATTTTAAAATTTCAGTAGTAATATTAAGTAAAAAAAAAAAAAAAATTGAATAAAAAAAAAAGCTGAGGACTAATTTTTAGTTAAATACTCAAGCAATTTGAGCTTTGAGGTGGGGAGGTTGAAAAAATGTTTTCAATCAAATTTGCAGTCTGTCATGAAATTCTGCAAAGCTCTTGTTATTTCCAGAGGAAATAGCAAAAAATAAAATAAATAAATAAATAAAAAAGTCTGGAAAGTTACAAGAATAAATTCTTTCAAAAGAATTGCTTGTTTTGTTTTTTTCTTTTCTCAGATCCTGTTTTTTCTTTAATAAGTAGAAAATGGTTGCAAAAGGAGGAGTGGAAGAGGGGGCAGAAAAGTATTAAGAAAAAGGAGAGAGGAGGCAGAAATAGGAGGATGAAATAGGAGGAATAGGAAGAGAAGGGGACAGAGAAAGTAGTAAGTAAAGAGAGACAGAAATAGGAGGAATAGGAAGAGAAGGGACAGAGAAAGTAGTGAGTAAAGAGAGAGGAGACAGAAATAGGAGGAATAGGAAGAGAAGGGGACAGAGAAAGTAGCGAGTAAAGAGAGAGGAGACAGAAATAGGAGGAATAGGAAGAGAAGGGGACAGAGAAAGTAGCGAGTAAAGAGAGAGGAGACAGAAATAGGAGGAATAGGAAGAGAAGGGGACAGAGAAAGTAGCGAGTAAAGAGAGAGGAGACAGAAATAGGAGGAATAGGAAGAGAAGGGGACAGAGAAAGTAGCGAGTAAAGAGAGAGGAGACAGAAATAGGAGGAATAGGAAGAGAAGGGGACAGAGAAAGAAGCGGCGAAAGAGAGAGAACAGAAATAGGAGGAATAGGAAGAGAAGGGGACAGAGAAAAGTAGCAAAAGAGAGAGGAGACAGAAATAGGAGGAATAGGAAGAGAAGGGGACAGAGAAAGTAGCAAGTAAAGAGAGAGGAGACAGAAATAGGAGGAATAGGAAGAGAAGGGGACAGAGAAAGTAGTAAGTAAAGAGAGAGGAGACAGAAAGAGAAGAAAGCGCAGTCGTTGTCGGTCAAATCTTGCCACCATGAAGAGAGAAAGAATAAAAGAAAGGAAAGAGAAGCCAAGATAAAGGAAAGGAAAAAGTGAGAAAATGTGTGAGAGAGAGAGAAAAAGAATGATGAACTGTGTAAGGAGAATCACAATGCAAAAAGGTGTGAAACACACATGCAAACAACTGTAATTTGGCAATTTCTGCATGCAATATTTATAATGTATATGATGCATGTATATATTTCTGCATGCATTATATTATGTATATTATATATAATTACCTGTATGTCAATGGAAATGCACATCTGTGTGGACATAAGTGTTAACATTTCATAGTGACTTTCAAACTTTGTCTGAAGACCACATTGAGACGTGCAACTGGCCACCAAACTATAGCATTCATTCCTATATCCCTTGTCGATGTCTATAAAGGGTCTATCCTCATTACAGCAGACTCTTCTTCTATGAATATAACACATTTTAAACCATATATGTATATAAACCTAACCTTAGTTTTGACGCAAGGCCAGAAGTATGGGACACTTAGTAAAAATTTAACTCAATCATAATGATATGCAACACTAATTTCCTAACTACAGGAGCTGCCTCCACACATGCACACATACATATATGTGTGTATGTAAACATAAATCATATGTTAAATTTTTATAATTTTTACTTTTTTGATAGGTATTATTGATGTGTGTGTGTGTGTGTTTGTAGGATGTACAACAGTATCCGAAACAAAAGTGGAGAAATCCAAACTGAAAAAGCTGAGATCAATAGATGTTAACAAAACGCATTTTTTATAAGCTTTTCCACTTTGTCTCATATATATATATATATATATATATATATATACATATATATATATATATATATATATATATATATATATATATAAAACATCCCACAACAGTAATGGTTTGTAAAATAGATTAACCGAACATAACTTCTGTCATAATATTCATCCTTATAAAATTCTCCATGCTCACAGCGATTTGCTATTCTAAGCTAAGCTCACTCACATATAACAAGATATATGTGTGTGTGTGTGTGTGTGTGTGTGTGTCAGGGCTGGCACAAGGTACTGAAAACTTGGGCAGTTGCTCAGGGTGCCATCATGCCGCCATGTCATTTGTTTGGGATCTTCCAAAAATAAAGCATACAAAAAGCGTACTTGCAGTCGTCCATGATTGAAGTCGGATTAAATACTTTGTTTATTTTGCCAATAGAAAATGATCTAGTAAAGAAAATAGATGTACAAAGTGCCATAAAAAGATCTAAAGGCTACAAAAACCTTTTACCTTTGATAATGAAAGTTTTCTTCATCTTGTATTAAATTGTATATTGTATTAAACTTGTTATTCTACATTTGCAGTTTTTCTCCTTGTGAAAATTTTTAAAACTTTTACTTGTAAGGGAGTCGAAGTTCAGCTTTCCTGTGATGTGAGCAACCCCTGGGACATCACTGGTGTGTGTTTAAAACTTCCTATATTTATAAAAATAGAAGACTAATTATCAGAGAAATGGATATGATGTATATCTATATATGTGTTTTGTGTGTATAAAACATTATTTCTTTTATAGCTTTTACAAGTGATGTTTCTAAGGCGAACTCTCATTACAGAATGAGAAAATAAATTCTAAGTGATCTTTATATAAATAGAAGCTGCTTTTTTCATGCAACTTAAATTTATGAGCAAAATCCACCTAAGAACCATTTTCTATTTAGACGTCTTTCTCTATTAGCATTCATTTATTTGTATAGAACACAAACATTGCATGTACAACTGGAATTAGATTAGTCAATTGTTGCTATCTACAAACACAAGGAACAATGTAACGATAGATTATGCGGGAATATTGGTAACTTTACTCGCGGACTCAATGAAGGGAGGTAACTTTGTATAATGAATTGCATTTGTGCTTGTTTTTAATAACAAGGTTTAGTAAAATCAAGGAACAAGAAAGAAGTGTACCAATACTAGCCTCATTATATATATATATATATATATATATATATATATAAAATATTGATTTTTTTTTTATGGCTTATCAAAACTGCATTATTTCTTTGTTTTACATAAACAAAACAATTCCTTTATTGATCCTAAATGAAAAAAGTATATAGAGTTCTGATAAATAAAAAAACAAAACAAAAAAAGAAACTACTGTTTGGTTTAGTAAAAGTGAAAGCAACATGATAATTTTGTTGATAGACAAGGCTCACCTCTATACATCTTTCAGTCAAGTCTCTGAGAAACTACTTTTCCTTAAAGCTTAGATTTCTTTTATGTGTGTATGTGTTTAGGGGATGGGGGGATGTAATTTAATCAACCAAATAGTTTATAAATTCATCAGTTTTCTTAGTTTTTCCCATGAAAATCAATTTTGTATGTTGTGCACCAGAGAAGGTTTGTAATTTGTGGATGATTTTCATAAAGGCAAATAGTTATCGGCCAAATCGGCTGGCAATGAAAGAAGGGGATATGGAAAGAAAGAGAGAGAGGCAGAAAATAAAAAAATGGAAGAAGAATTATTGAAGGAGAGAAAGAATTAAAACAAAAAAGAAGAAAAGAGAAGCATATCAAAAAACAGAATATGTTGTCTATATCGTCATGGTGGCATCATTAGGTTGAAGGAAAGTTGTGATTAAAGGCGAGAAAGAGAGCAAAAAGGAAGAACTTGTCTGTGTGTGTTATTTTGGGAGGGTGGGTGGGGGCTGTTCCTTTCACTTGTCTGCATTTCCACTTGATTTCTGTTTCATGGGACTCTGGATGACAATTTCATTACTCTGCATGTCATGCACTGATGACACGGTTGTCATGCAGTAAAAACATTCCTTTCTGTTCATCATTTGATAAGTTATACAGTTCCTGAAAAAAACAAAAAAAAAAAACAAAAAAAAACAAAGATGACAATAAACAACAAATTTCAATTCCAAGGCAAAAATAAACGTTTCAATATTTACTGAAATCCGCTTAATAGTGCATGCAAAGAAATGGGGCAGGGAAGGATGACTGTATTGTCATAAGAGGGGGGGGGGGGGCTTGTCTGAGGAAAGTTAAAGAAAACAATGTTCATAAAGCTTAGCTAATTCAAAAGACAAATAGAGAAAGGAAGAATCATCATCATCATCCTTCATCATCTGTCCCTTGACTGTTTCAATCCTTCCAGGGGTGGGGTGGGAGGACTAAGAACAGATGAAACAAATTCTGGGATGATCTGTTGGTCGGTGGCTCTCAGGAATTCCAGCATTGTCATGTTCATCCACTCTTTGATGGTGTCAAGGAAAGAGGGAAAAAAGATGTCAAGGAGGAAGGGTAAAAATAAGGTGACGGGAAGGAAGTGGGAAGAGAAGGTGCCAAGGAGGAAAGAAGGTGCCAAGGAGGAAGGGGGGGGGAGAAGGTGCCAAGGAGGAAGAAGAGAAAGAAGGTGACAAAGAGGAAGAAGAGAAAGAAGGTGCCAAGGAGGAAGAAGAGAAAGAAGGTGCCAAGGAGGAAGAAGAGAAAGAAGGTGACAAAGAGGAAGAAGAGAAAGAAGGTGACAAGGAGGAAGAAGCGGGGAATGAAGGTGCCAAGGAGGAAGGGGGGGAAAGAAGGTGCCAAGGAGGAAGGGGGGGAAAGAAGGTGCAAAAAAGAAGACTTGAAGAAGCTCGGGAGAGCAGGTGCAAGAGATGAAAGGTGAGAAAAGGTTCGAAATAAGTTACAACTGGCAGAAAGTAGGTGCAAAGGACAATAAGACGGAAAGAAGCTGCAGACGAGTTAAGGTAAGAACATGAAATAATAAAAAAACGCCTAAAACAAAAGAACATCAAAGAAAGATGGAGATCAAAGACCTAGATGTAGTTTTAATCTTTTGAATTTTTAAATAAGTGGAACTTTAATATTGTTTTTATTTTGGAGTATGATGCACATCTTATGTTGGGAAATAGATAGGTACTCAAGTATGAATGTATCAGAAAGAAATCAGAGATGGCCTCATTTCTCAGATCCCTGCTGGCTAGTAGTATTATTTTATAAGTACTGTATTCTCAATATAATCCTTTCCTCAATAAAGCTGATATATATATCTTGAATGCCGACATGAAAATCTAAATAGACAAAGTTTAACCATTCATCCATTGCTGTCATCAAAGGGTTAAATGTTAAAATATTCTCTTTCACAATGCATATTGAATAAATAGAATCACAATCCATTTTTTGAAGACATTTGAAGTCTTGTCAGGATTTCAGACGTCTTCAAAAATGGCAGATGCTAAATGTACTTTTTCTAATGTAATATTTCAAATATTCCTGTTTTCTACATTTTGGCAATGCAGTTGATTTTTTTTTTGATGTTTGTTTGCCCCTTTTTGCTGTAATGGTAGCTGCGTTGATAATAATAAATAAATTTAATTTTGTCACGATACCACTGTAGTGAGAAGATGAACGTAAATATAATTTATCTGAAGCTTTATTCAACTTAGATTTCACCTTCTTGATTTCATGACTAAAGTCAGTATTCTTAATATTCTTCAGAATTTAAAAACCTTGGCCTTTTCTCATCTGAAACTGGACATCTTAGACTTGAATTAATAAAGGTATTTAGATAGGTATTATCTCTGCAAATTCATGATATCTAAGGCTTAAAATGAATTTTTTAAAATGAAAAATGTTTCTTGAAACTTTTATTTTGTTTTAATTTCAAGTTAATACATTTTAATTGCTGTATTTCAAAACAAATTTAAATTGACTGGAAATTTTTTTTTTGCCACAAAATCTGACTTTAACACTATTTTTAGCTTGCATTTATTGTAATGTAAAAAAATCATTCAAAAATAAAATATACTTTTGTGAAAGTTTATTTGAGGAAAATTAGCTGATTTAAAACATAATCTGATTTGGAACAAGTATTATTTATTTAAATTCAAAATATTGCACAAATGCATTTTTTTAAACACAGAGGTAGCCGTTTATTTTAGATGTTAACAGTATGATGACAGATGGTTGCTTATCTAATATTTTTCTATGGGGGCTTTATCTGTAAAAATAATTGAAGAATATAATGTCAGCGCCGCTTTTTTTATATTGTCTTTAAGTAATCAGTAATTTTAAAAATTTAGGAAAATATTCTCTGTAATCTAAGGTTTTATTGAATTTTAGAAATTTTGGCTTTAAATTTACTGTAGTTATTTCTCTTATTTTTCAGATAATGTTGTGTATGAACATTGGTATCTACAAAAACTGGCACGTTTATACACATTAGAAATTCTTTTAAAAATATTGGTGTTAGATGAATCGTTGTGGAATCAGTTTTCATGTACTTCTTCGCTCAACTTAAAAATTTACCTTTGTGATATCTATTTAAACTTGATAACTGGGTTGATTTCATGACTTCAGCTAATATTCTAAATATTCTACAGAATTTAAAAGCCCAGGCCTTTTCTCACCTAAAGCTGAACATTTTAGATTTGAATTAACAAAAATATTTAGAGTAGTAAATTAAAACTGATGACATAGGTTTCAAGAAATATTTCACTAAACACCAGTATAAATACATCTGCGTAGACCCATTAAATACATTTGCGTAGACCCATTAAATACATTTGTGTAGACCCATTAAAAATTCAACCACAGCCCTTTTGTCATATAACATGAAAAATTTTTCATAGCTTGTAGGACCTTGGTTTTCTTGATGTTTACTGTAAGGCTAAAACAATGATAGGACATTGCAAAGTTGTTCACAGACTGTTGGAGTTCTCCTTTTGAATGGCAGCATTGTCATCAGCATATTGAAGTTCTGAGATTTGTGGCATGCATTTTAAAAATTTAGGTCAAAGTCTACTAAGATTGAAATGTCCTCCTTCCTATTGATATTTGATGTCAACTCCTGAATTGTCTGAAGGAAGTTCATGAAGCATTGTAGCCAGATACAAAGAGAATAACATAGGTGCTAAGATCCATCCTTGTTTTAGTCCGCACATGATTGGAAATTTTTCTGAAAGTTCTGGTGTTCCATCAGCATTGGAATCAAAAAGAAGCTACCAGAAGAGAAAAGGAAAATGACGAGAGAGAAATTGACCTCGTCCTCCAGCAACATTACTATGCAGTCAATTCCATCGGCTCTTTCATGCAAGAATTGGTCTACTTAATCATCAACAGCATCATCATAAATGAAGCTATCAGAAAAGAAGAAATGAAATTCCTGGATATGAGATAAAAGCTGATGACAAGTAAAAGAATGAAACATTTTTCTTTCTTTTGGCAGCCAATGCCAAAATCTTTAGCCGTCTTCAAAAATGAGATCAAAATACATTTTGGATATAGTGGCAAATGCTAACTGTAAAGTCTCAAGTTCTTTTCTAATTCAGTATTTCGATTATTCCTGTTTTCTGTATGTTGCCAATGCTGTTTATATCTTTTATCTTCTGTTTGTTTGCCTACTTTGGTCTAATGGCAGCTGGGTTGACAATAAAAAATGAGAGAAACAGATGGAATGTTGAGAGCGACAGATTTACTCCCAATACAAGAAATAAATTAGCTAAAAGGCTAAACCAGAGAAGAATTTATCATGGGGTGTACAAAATTTATTTCAGCCCCCCCCTCCCCTTATTACTACTTTTTTTTTTTTTTAACTGCTAAGGCTTATATAAAAGGTGAATGCTAGTCTATATATATATATATATATATATATATATATAAAGAAAAATACAGAAAAAACAAACAAAAATCTTTATGCAATTATGCTGTATTAATGTAAAGTCGACGTCGGACGTTTCGGTCTATTTTAGACCATCATCAGGACATATTCATTTAAACATAATTAACATTAGAACATATAAAAATTTAACACAAAAGACGATGGACATTGTGTTAAATTTTTATATGTTCTAATGTTAATTATGTTTAAATGAAAATGTCCATGAAGATGGTCTTAAATAGACCGAAACGTCCACGTCAACTTTATATTAACATTAATACATAATTGCATATTATGTTTTTGTTTGTTTTTTCTGTATTTTTCTTCATACTATCGGATCTATATCCATATATTTACATATATATATATATATATATATATATATATATATATATATATATATATATATATATATAAAATAAACATTTTCTGAGATCTGAAAAATACATGGCGACCTCTTTTAGGACCTCTGAGCCTACATACAATCTATTTCCTTGCACTCAATTCCTACCGGCTCTGAAAGCAAATATGAAAATAGGGAGGCATGACAAAAGGATAATAGATTTTTTTTTTATTCTTTTTCATAGCAAAAAGGGTAAAAATATAAAAAGAACTAAAATACATCAGATTATATGGAATATGTTTGATTTTAAAAATTTACCTTTGAATCACTTTTTATTTATTAAAATTTTAAAAAATTAAAAAGATAGAAAGAAAGAAAGAAAGAAAGAAAGAAAGGAGTGTAGTATGAAGGAATTCTGAAAAGTCAATCGACTTCCAAAAATATGACCAAATATATATTTTATTTTATTTTCAATCCTTTATAGGTTTTTGAGCAAAGAATTTGTCAACACATCATCATAAAAAAGGAACATTTTGTGTGTTTCTGATGAGAGTGTCATTACAAATGCTTGACAAAAAACAATGACTGGAAGTTGGTAAAACTTGCAAAGATTTTCCAAAATTCACTATCCACTTGACACTCAGAGTTGATATTGAATATAAAAGTTTCGTTTTGAAATGAGAAACCATCAGAATATAGATCTGCTTCTCTTTGATTGAGTAGTTGTTTTTTTTACAGCACTTGTAGGTTATTTAATTCCAGAAAATTATTTTAGATTATAAGAATGTTTTGGAGATAAAGCTTTAATGATACAAGTCTTACTAATTAACCCATAGCTGGGAGGAGAAGAGGTAGATTCATGCTTTTCCAAGGGGATTTGTGCATAAGTGAATATAACAAACCCAAATGGAATTAGAACTCTGCTCTCCAATTTCCAATTCTGAGCCATTATCCATTACACTACCTGCACATCTAATTTTACAGCACCCAGTATTCCTAAGCAGTCACCCATCTAGGTACTGACCAGGTTTGATTCTGCTTAACTTTGGTGACTGTATAAGAACCTGTGTTTCAATGTGATGTGGCTGTAAACCCTTAGTCTCTGGGATTCATAATCCACAAGACTGGTAAATTTTGTCTTTTCATTTTTAACACAAAAAATTAAAATTCTTGAAGCGCTCAATATAAAAAATGCAGCCAACACTAAATAAAATTAACTATGAGTATAGCAAGAATGTTTTAAAATGTTCTTAAAAGCAATGTTTTTCGATGCTCAAGTTGAAAAATTTTTTTTTAAATTGTAAGTTAATACTTTAAGTTGTACTTTAATACATTAATAATAAAAAATATTAAAAAAATATAAATTAAGTTACTTCCCTTATATATTCTTAAAATTAATTTTTAAATTGACTAGAACAGAGTGTGTTTCATGCGCATTTACAAAAACATTCACAACTATCAATTACATTAATTTTTTTTTGTCTTAGCAAAGACAAATATATATCACCGATGACATTGAAAAGTACTTGGGGAGATAAAAGAAATAATGAAAACTATGGCATCTTTCTTGCTCTGTTTTGTACCAACACTAAGGAACTGAGCCATGAATTTGAGAGGATTTAAAATAAAAATAAATAATGTCTAGATTATTCAACCATATATATATATATTATTACTCATCTCCCTGAAAATAATTGGACTGCTACATTATCATTACATTGCAGTACAAATATCAATATTTTGATTATACAAGGGTCAGTTTTTAATCAGCACCTGATGATTGCATTGAGCATGAAACTGTTGTGCTACCAGTGACAAAAATTATATATATATATATATATATATATATATATATAAAATCTGACAGATAAGTTTAAACATTATTTTTAATAGGTAATTCATATTTTAGTAAATACTCTGTTTATTATTTATTTTCGTCTACCAGTCTGAAAAATACCTCACTTGATTGCCAAAACCTCTGGTTGAATCAGTTAAGGCACATCGGATCTAATGACAGTGTCCTTCTGCGTAGGGAGATGCAGGTTCCAATCCTGCCAGAGAGTGCATATTTTTATTTAATGAGATTCCTTGAATATTTAGGCCGGTAGACAAAAATAAATAAATATACTGTTTAATAAATAAACAGAGTGTCTACTCAAATCTTTCTCTTAAAACAATTTTTCAGGAAAACAGACTTCTCAAATTCCAGTAGCTGTTATTACTCCTCCTAGTATTGATGGTGATTTCCTTCCTAACCTTTTGTTTGAAGTTGTGTGAAATGTCAACATTTTGATTATGTCATTATTTTCTCCGAGTTACATGTGATAACCATTTTAGTTGTTGAAAGTGCTCAAGTGATGTAGTTTGTTATTTCGTAGCGCCTGTTCAGAAGGATTGGTCCTCACTGAGATCTATAGGTTTTATTTGCTGAAAGGCATTTTTAACCATTAATCTGGGAAAGTGGTTGTATACAGCTGAATGCGTTTGACACCATGCATGACATCTGTATGAATGTCTCAATCTGATGTCACTATTTAAGAACATGACTCCAGTTTTTAGGTTGATGTTTTGGCTTTCTTGCAATTTGTGGTGTTAAGCGAAATGACCTTTAGTACAACCCCTTCAATGTTCATTATGTGCATGATGAATAAAGAAGGAAGAAAAATACTACCGTTGAATCAGAAATATGAATCAAAGACATATTAGATTTAGACCCAGCAGCCCCACCCCCAACCTCCATTTTACATTGTTTCTTATTTGTTATATCTTTCCATCCATCACTTTATGGCGAGTAACAAACCTCCTCTTCTTTTTTGTCGTTCATCCTTGTTCATCCTGCTTTGTTTTAATAGACTTATGTATATATCTAAGAATTATGTATTTGGGCAGCAATTCTTTTATACAAGTTTCATTAAAGACGACTGACAGAGTACAGCATTTAAACTTTTTATTTAATTTTTCTTGTATTCATATAAGTTTATTCTTCACTGGACATAAAGTGTGGAAAAATTGTCCAAATGTTTCAGAATGTTTTTTTCTATTTTTAATTCTGAATGTGTAGATTTTCACCTAAGGTTGTCTATATTTTTGAGATGAGATATTGTAATTATTTACATTGTTTGGACAGTTATCCTCATCTTTATTGTCATATTCAGTAGTGGACTAAATAAAGGGTCTGGTTTGAAATTCCAATGTATATATCGTCAGAGCATACAACACCCAAAACATTGTGAATATGACAATAAAGATGAGGACAACAGTTCAAACAATGTGAATAGTGTAAATAAGTACCTAGAGTTATAGGAATGTTTTTTTTTATTTTCCAAACACGGTCAGCACATTGTGACCATGTTCATATTTGATGCTATTGAATCTTGGCTTTTTTTTTTTTTAATGCTTCCATTATTTTTGGTCTTATTTTTTTTTTTTTTTTTTAAAAACACGTGGATGAAGCTATTATAGTTGTATTTTTTATGAGTATGTTGCACATGGAGTTTGGAAGGTCTCCATGTGTATTTAAACCTAATTGAGCTATGATCAGGAAGATGAAACATGGCTCTTCTTCTTAGGCATGCTGTAGTAGATCTAATAGAATTATTTGCAAATATGAATTCATAATATTGATCCTCTGTAAATTGGATCTCGTATATATTTGGATCATATATATTTATCTATACTTTCAAATTATATTTTTAAAGTCCTAATATAATTTAGTACACAACACCCACCCACCAAAAATCTAAGATTATTTATTATACAATAGTTGAAATTACCATGATTTTAATTTTTGTTTTTTGACAGAAACACACGGCTCAGGTGAAGATAGATATTTACTGATTGAAACATCGTCATCATCATCATCTGGTTGCACTGCTTGTACAGATTCTTGTGACTCCCTGTCACTACTCAATTCTATTGTTCATCATATTTGGCAAATCAGAGGGACTGCAGTGTATGTTGTCACCTAATCTGCTTGATATAGGACTGCTAGCTATTCCTTGTGTGCAGGCTCCGACAAAAGAACTTTACTAATAATTTCATCTTTATCTCTCCAGTCATATCCTGCAAATCTGACTATGCTCTTTGATGATGCCTGATATTGGACAAAGGTTCCCATACAGTTGCACATTGGTCAGATGACCTCTCCAAATGGCATTCAAATTTACTCTTAGCAAATGAGTGTTGGCCGCATCTAATCATGTTTCCAGTTTTGAGGTAAGGGTGGATAATGCACAGCCATACAATAGAACAGAGGTAACAGTCTTTTGAAAGAGGTACCTTTTCATGTTGCCGAGACGTCTAGATTTCCACACTAAAGAATTTCTCAATGGCACCCCAGGTTATACCAATGCATGTATCTGTCTATATTTCTGAGGTGAGGTATTACATACATTATTTACATTATTCGGACTATTGTCATCATCTTTGTCGCCATATTTATTACAATGTTTTGGCCGTTGTACGCTCCAGCCTTCTTCAGGTGGTTGGAATGTCGAACTGAACCCTTTAACACATGGCACAGTGGATAAAGGCATTAGTTAGATTCAGTGACAGGACCCAAAGAGTGTGAGTTCAATACCCAGGTAAGGCAGGACATAACTGATAACTGACATCCATTAAACATGGCACGTGGAAGTAGAACAGTCTATCCCAGTGAGTGAAATAAAGGGTTCAGTTTGACATTCCAACCACCTGAAGAAGGCCGGAGCGTACAACAGCCGAAATGTAATAAATATGTCGACAAAGATGAGGACAATAGTCTGAATAATGTAAATAATGTACCAATGCATGTTTTTACATTGTTTCACAGTTAGAGATTTTACTACCTATACATTTGAGAGGTGTGCCAGATACTGTTTTGATTGTTCCATTTTGATTAAAGCTTATGTATTCTGTTTTGTCTAAGATAATAACATCCAACTTGTTCAAAAATGTCCAGACTACCAGTTTTATACAACTGTTTCTTTTTTTCTTGTTACATAAAAGCCTAAATAATTACAACATTATATATTAACCTAAGAATGATAGTCTTTCTCTTATATAGCCTCATCAGACCTAGACTCTCATGTGGATGTCATGCATAACATCCATCAATTGTCTGGTCACACTGCTTGCACAGATTCCCATGACTGTCATCATCTAATTCTATTATCATATTCGGCAGGTCAGGAAGATTGCAGTTTAGTTTGTCAAAAATCTGCTTCATGTAGGTCTTGGTTCGCCATCCACTGCTAGCTCTTACTTGTGGAGCTAGAGATTTTATTACTGATGTAATGGAATAACCTGTCACCCCCCCACGAGTGGCTACACTATAGGTAGTAACTACCTATGAGTATCTGTAAGTCAAGGAACTACAGAGACTGGCTGGGATCTGTTGAGTACGACTCAGACTTACACGAGAACGACTGACCTTCCAATAAGTACTCACTGCTGGATTGACTTGCGACGACCATGTGCATAACTGTTACCTTTATTCTTATTGTACTAGTTTTTACAATAAACCTTTACTTATTTTATCCACCTTGTTTTTCAAGTATATATTCCTATTGGTACAGAATATAACAAATACCTAACTAAGTAAATTCTTCTATACAGTTGTGAGGGGTGCTAGATACTGTTTTGACTATTCCAGTAAATAATATTGATAAAACGAGGATTATTATACCAAAACTGGTTCTTGATTCTGAACAATATTTAGGCATATAAATTAACTGTAGCAGAAGAATCATTCCATTACCATTTTCTAAAAGCAGAGTTATCGAATTATGATATCTGAAAATGGTGTCATCCGCTGTTAATGGATTATCAAAGACTAATGGGAACTTTTCAGGGGACAAGAGGCTTCTGGGAAGGAATTCAACAAGAAGAAAAGATATCAAGCAATAAATGTACAATAAGGTATTGGTTTCTTACCTACAAGACTTGTGACCACAAGGGTTGAATATAACGGAGATAGGGTTTGCATAGCAAATAGCACACAAGTCATCATCAGCCAGAGACTGGAAGCAAGAGAGGAGGAGAAGAAACATTAAAAAAAAAAAATTTCAAACTCACAAAACAGAGAGGTGAAAAGCGGTTATGTTACTAAAGACAACAATAAATTCAGAAAGTGAAAGAAACTCATTAAACTATGACAGCATGCACACAAATATGTCAGCATTAAGAAAGTGTTAGACATTTAGTCATTTTTCACTAGTTTTTTCTTTCCTCTTATTTCTGTTGATAGTTTACACCTAGTAGTAGTAGTAACAAACTTTATATATAAAATTCTGTGACTTCCATTAGTCTGTTCATCTCTTCATCCAACACACCCTCTAAAATAGCCAGACATATTGATCAAAACCAAATGTTAGGGAGAAGTGCAAACAGATAGGGGGTGGTGGTACAAAGTACAGTTGATTTTACTCGGGTAAATAGCTTAGTACAATAAATTTTCATTCATTTTTTTAAAAAAAATGAATGAATGAAAAAATGAAGAATAAAAAAATTGTTTTTTTTTTTAAAAAAAGGAATGAAAATTTAAAAAAACCATTGGTTTGCAAAATTGAATGAAACAGGTTGTAAATTGTGACAAAAAAGTTAGCAATAACTTCAAAAATACTGAATACTGCAAGGATTTCAATACATGTCAGCGTTTCAAAAAAAAATATTCTAATAGTCTTAAACTATTCTAATTTCTTTGAAGAAACAATGTCAATAATATTAATTTTCAGCTAGTTTTTCTTTTAATTTCATTACTTTTGTCATAGGAGTCTATTTTTTTCTTTCTACAGTTGTTAAATAATTATCCTTGCATCTCAAATAAACAAGTGTTTATCCTTATGTAAATTCAGGGCATCAAAAGATCCTGTTTAAAGACATTTGAATGTCTCTGTTTATTAAAATCCCATGATGGAAAATGGACAACTACTGATCTTAATTGTGCATTAGTACTGAGGCACGGTTGAGTAATGGATTGCGACTCGGATTGAGGAATTGGAGAGCTGAGTTTGAATTCCATTTGAGTTCATTACATTAACTTATATTCCCTTTGTAAAAGTATAAATCTCTCTCTTCTCCCCTCAACTATGGGTTGAATAGCAGGACAGACTGGGTTGTATAGCTTTGGGTGGCAACTGGTCTAGCAGAAAGAGAGCTCTGAATTTGAAACTGTATATAGCCCTGGTGAAGGACATACTATGCAGCTAAGGAAAGAATTGGTTTGAATTGACTCGATGATCCCAACTGCATTTGATTCCTTTTTTTTTTAATTTGGGTTACAACAAAAGTTTGTAATGTTTTTCAATAGGTGGCATTTGAATATGTGACTGTTTCACACATGACTAAAATTTATTACTTTTTTTTTTTTTAAATTAATATTTACTCAATACAAGGCCCAAGAACCAATCAAGGTAGAGAGTTACATTGTGATGTTGTATTTAGCATAGGAAAAGACAAGTGTTAAGAGTTTAGAGCTGAAGCAGACTTTAGAAAGAACCGGAAATGACATAAATTTCTACCCCTGTTCAAAAGACCAGAGGGAGAAGTAATTATTCTGAAAGGAAAGATTTCAGTGCATCTTTCTATACAATTCATGTATGGACTGTGAATATTATTTTACATTAAAATGCAGGAAAATAAGATGCATTTTCACCATTTAATGCTTCCTTATTTCCAGAAAAATGATATACCAACAGCAAAAAAGATATGTGCCATTTATGGAGATGGTACCATATCTGAGAGCACTGTTTGTAAGTGGTTTGCAAGGCTTGGATGGGGAAATTCTGATCTGGAAGACTGAGAATGTTCTGGAAGGCCTGCAGTTACTGATGATGGCCAAATCGAAATGTAGATTAAAAATAATCCAACTCACATGACGAGAGACATTGCAAAGATACAGCATATATAATTGTAGTAAGGGATTAGAAAACACTTGGATATTTGGATTAATATGATCATTGGTTGCTTCACAATTTAACAGAGGAAAAAAAGAAAGAAAAAAAAAAGGTTAATGGACCCCAGTTCCCTCTGTGATTCTCTGCTCAACCAAAACAAAAGCAAATATGATCACAAGAAATAAAAAATGGATTATTTATAATAATGGGAATGAAAAAGGTTCGGTGGAAAATTAAATGGACCACAGTTACCTACTCCAAAAGCTGATCTATGTCAGGAATTGATACTATGTGTCTTGTGGGACTGGAAAGGCATTTTATATTAAGAGCTCTTTCCGCAAAATCAGAGATTGAATTCAGTCCTGATTTGGTGGCTCGGCTTTCAGTCAGTTTCCCACTGCTCTAAGGTTGCTTCCCTGTCTCTTTTCTATAAATACTTTCATGTAAATTGTTCAGATTAGCTCTTCACTACTGTACCTAGACTTTTTTTTTTAATTTAAGTGCAGTACTAGATTGGCACATGGCTGAGTGGTTAGAATGTTCACATTCTGACAATGAGACCTGGGTTTGTATCTCACTATGGTCGATTTGTCAGGAAGGAGATTTCTTGATGTTATTGGACTAGAGGGGTTGATCCCAACGTGTGGCACCTTTGGAAAGTGCCTGAAAACCATACCACAGGTTGAACCAAGCCTTGTGAGTGAAATTGGGTAGACAGGACTCTTGGGTGTCATCGATAGCTGTGCTAGCACAAAGTCACAAGTCATCGTAGCTGAGGGCTTGAACATGCTGGCCTTGTTCAATTGTTGATATACTAGATAACACTCTCTTTCCCAGAAATTGTAACTAAGATCTGCTCAGAATAATTGCAGTATAAATCACAGGTGGACTCTGTGGGTGTTGAAAAAGCACAAATGTGCTTGAGCAAGTGTCTACAATAGGGATTGGCTATCTGCCCTAGTAGACAGGTATCCTTGAATATGTGTGACCAGCTATACATACAGATTGGCATCAAGAACTCATCAATTTACAGTCGAGCTGGCTAGATGTAGCTGTAAATTCTATGCTAACAGTTTCTTTCCTTGTGATTCTCGCTTGTAAACCCTGGTTTCTTAGTGGATTTACTGCCTTGCTTGGGGTGAAATAGATTAAAAAAAATTACTGTTCCCTACTGCCTGAAGCTAGAAATCCGTGAAAAGTGTCCCAAATTGTCTGATCAGAAGGGTATCAACTGCTATCAAGACAGCATCAGACCTCACATTTCTTCAGAAAAACAGCATTTCAAGCTACACTCATCCTACTCACCTGACCTTGCATCTTCAGATTAACACTTAATTCAATATCTGAAAAATTCTCTTAATAGGAAGATTTTAATTTCTCTGGAAGCCTGTATAAACCACGGAGACCAGTTCATTCTCCACAAAGATACCAAATTCTTGGAGAATGAAATCATGAAGCTGCCTCAAAGATTTGTTATCTACAGCTTATCAACCCTTTGTAAGTTATTTAAAGCTAGAAAATATTTTTAGATTGTAAGAATTTTCTTGGAGATAATAATTGTTTGGTGATACAAGTTTTACTAATTAACCCATAGTTCGGGGGGAGAAGAGGTGGATTCCTACCTTTCTCAAGGGTATTTGCATGTAAGTGAACATAATGAACACAACTGGAAATGGAACTTGGCTCTCTAATTAACAATTCCAAGCTATTATTCATTACACTAACTGCACATTCAAACTTACAGCACCTGATATTCCCAAGTGGTCTCCCATCAAGGTACAGACCAGCCTCAACATTGCTTAACTTTGGTGATCATACAGGAACATGATGTGGCTGTAATCCTGTCTTTGTTTTTGATTTATACTGATTACTTATAATATAAAGAAAAAGGAAAAAAAAAACAACCTTAGTAAGGCAAGAAAAATAAGATGTAAGATAAACTAGTGAAAAATGAATAAGAATGATCTGACATTTCATGAGTGGCATTCAAATAAATCGAAATCCTTCTCATTAATTTGGTTCTATTCACTTGACAAAATTTTGGACAAAGTGTGTGGGTGGGAATAGAGGAAAATAACTGTGACAATCATAAATGATAGAATGCTGAATGAGGTGCTGGGGTGTCAAGTTAAATCAGATGCTAAAAATTTAAAGCTAAGAAACACGTTATCTTCTGCATTTTTTGATGTAGAATTGTAACCCAAATTTGTTGTATTTCTCTCCTCAATTCTTAAATATACAACATTCCATTATTAGTGGTTAAGAAAGGAATCTTTAAATTAATAATGTTAATAAAACCATTATTAGTCTGTCTGAAGAAGTCCTTTTGAAAAATGAAATATGTAAGCTTTTCCCCATTTTGTCATTTAATTACCAACCATTCATGTTATATAACATCATTAAAAACTCTAGCCCACACTGATCAGCCATTTTGACCCATTATACTACAGAGGGGCGCTTTGCTGATGCCAGTTCAAAGCCTTTAAGTGAAAAAAGGAAGATGAGGGTGTATTGAGCTAACAGCCCTGCTATCCATAAAAACCAGTGATGATAGAAGCACTCTACAAGTCATCCCTGAGAAGAGATGGATATTCTTTGCAAAGATCTAGGATTCAAAATGATGAAAAAACACAGAGCCAAGAAACAGTCAACATTAAGGAAAGACGAGTAGCCAAAAGCTAATACCACAAGAAAACTCCTAACCTTGAAACTCCATTAGAGAAGGAGAGGAAAAAAAAAAAAAATTTCAGCTGCCAGGACTTTAAAGCAGACAACAGAATGCTGGGATACATTTAAACTAGTTGAAGTAGAAAGGGTCAACTAATTAACTATAGAAATGCCTAATAGCAATAATCTAAATAATTCTTTACAATTACAGATCTAATTCATTCATTTACTTCAGTATAATGAAAATAGTTATGAGATTTGATAAATATTCTTCTTATTTTTGCTTACATATTAAATTTTAGATTTTTTTTTTTTAATTTAAACGTATTTACCATCGTTTTTGCTCTCATGGCAAATTCAGGGTACAACGGGTTAAAAAAGTATTGTTTTATGGAAAAGGTGTAAAGAAAATAATGCTTTGTATTTCCTGATAAATTAACCATAAAGTCGAGATCTTGCATCTGACTGTAAATGGCATCAATTTTTGGAATGCACACCCCACTGTAGAGGATGGTGCACAAAAAATGGTGACTAAAACAAACAAAAAGTAAAAAGTAACATTTTAAGAATGGCTTGGATTACTGATTTCATTCCTTTTGTTTTTGCCACAATCATTCACCCAACCAATTCTCTGGTCATCCTCAGTGGGTAGAATAATGTGTAAAGAAGATGATTTTTTTTTCTTTAGGTTGAATTCAAATTTGACATGTTCACTTCACATGAATGCTCTTGAGAAAGACAAAAATCCATTGCTTGTCCCGCCACTCCTACTATGAGTAAAATAGAAGGGTAGACAGGGATCCCTGGCTTTGTTTGCTAATTGGTTGAAAAAAAAAAAAAAAGAACTAAATTTAAAAGTATGGAATAACAAAGACTCATTTCAAAATTTCAAAAGATTTTCATGAACATATCAGGAATTACTGAAAAATCCTTAGCCTGATGAACTTTCCCCAAATCAATATTTCCATAACCAAATACAAAAATACTGATTTAGGGAAGTTGGTCAGGTGAAGAAATTTTGAACACCACCTCATGTTATACAAGGTATGGCAGAAATACTTTCCACCTAATGGTAAGACATTAGTGGCAATGGCATCTTCATATAGAATGTCTATAAATTCTATACTTAGGGGAAAAAAAATCAAATAAAATAAATATGAACTTTGGCAAATTTACTGAGAACATAAAATAACCAATTCAGAAATCTGAAAAACTTAATAAAAATTTGATAAAAGATTTTTTGTGAATTGATTTAGAGTTGAGATTTCCAAAATGACAGATTTTCCCTGACCTTCAAGGATGTGATGAAAAAAAAATCCATGAGCAGTAAAGAAAAAAACGTGGATGGTAGGGGATGACAGGATAACGTTAATATCAAGTAATCATTTCTTTCCCTTTTCTTTTTCATTTTTTTTAAACAAAATCTACATGACAAAATTTTAGTTACACTTAAACAAAAAATATATGCTTTACAAAAAATAAAATTAACATATACATATGCATGGTTTTATTTTATTCTGTTGCCTGAAATTAGAAATCTGAATGTTTGTGTCTTCTTGACATTATCTGAACAGGATGCACCATACACCAGCCAGATCAAACAGTGACGTCTACCAAGGCTAATCCTCTCAGTTTATAGGTATAACAATATAGCCATGGATGTTGTTTGTCTGGTGACATTTTATCTAATGGCATTTTAAAAAAAAGCCAAAATGTGCATGTACGTTTACTGTGTAAGATTAGTTGTTTTAAATTTTTCATTTACCTAATACCAAGAAAGAAGCGTCTTTATATACATGTGTCAAAGGAAGCTAGGGATGTTGCCCTGGAGCCAAGAGGCCAGCAGTTAGAAAACATTTGCGAAACAGTGCTTTGCAGGTATCATTAGTCAATAATTAGGTTATGCTTTTTCTTTCTAAAATCTTTGTCTATGTCAATTAAGAATATAAAGGCTTAACATGTAAGGTGAAAATTTATGAGATCATTACAGTAAAAAAAAAAAAAAAAAAAAAATTTTAAAATAGTTTCCATACCTTTTGTTGATTGGACTTACGGTCTAATTGAATCTGAAGGTGAACTATCAATTCTTCTGCCAATTTGATTTCTTCACTATTAACTTGGTTAACTGAAAGAAAGTAAAAGCCAATTAAGTGAAACTGCAGTGTTTGGAATTTTAAAAAGAAAGTGTGATGAATTCTTACCAGGAAACTCATTTTCAAATTCCTGTAACAATTATTCCAGGTATAAGTTGAACTAGTATCCTCATTGTTGTTGTTTCTATTATAGTGAATCTAATGAGTTTTTCAGTAATTTTTAAAAAAATTTATTTTGTCCAACTAACTTGTTTCCTCTATTTTTTCTTTTTGGTGTTATGGCTGAAAATTTGTTTTTTTGAGGTCACAGATGACATTCATTCTTTGAGGCTTCAGTTTGAAAACTTTCTGTCTTTGAGTCCTCAATTGGAAAAGGTTTGTTCTTTGAGGCCTCGGTTAGAAAAAGGTTTGTTCTTTGAGGCCTCGGTTAGAAAAAGGTTCATTCTTTGAGGCCTCAGTTGGAAAATCTTCTTTGAGGCCTCAGTTGGAAAATGATAATTCTTTGAGGCATCAGCTGGAAAATGTTTGTTCTTTGAGTGATCGTTTGGAAAATGTTTATTCTTTGTGGTCTCAATCAAAGAAGAGATGAATGTAAACTAAGTATCTCCAATAATTTGCTAAAAAATCAGTATTGCATAATGATAAACGGTCCCAAACTTAATAAAAACAAAGTTTTAGCATTAAAATGTTTATGTTATTATTAAGAAGAAAGAACAAAGTATTTTTAAAATATCTAAAAAAAATTTTTTCCTTCTTTCTAACACGTTCTAAATTTGAGTAAAAAATTTCGTTTTTTTTTTTTTTTTTTTTTAACTTTGTACTACTTGTGGTAATGGCCATTTTAGTGTAGCAGTTTCAGGGGGAAAACCCTTTAATTTAGAAATTCTTGCAAAAATCAAATAATTGTCTGATTTTAATGAAACTTTCAGAACTTATTCAAAAATGAATGAATTTATTTTTAAAATATCTTGGTAAAAATATTTTTTTTTTTACATCTGTTACTCACACCATAAATTAATTCTATGAAATTTTCTAGAATTTCAAACACTTCATAAATTTTTTAATATTACTTATAAGCAGGACTTCTTAGAGAAATTAAATCATCAATTTCTTTTTTCACAATTACAGCCAACTTTTTAAAAATCTGCTTCAAATTGTAAAATAAAATCTGCAATAAACTATTTAATTATCAAATTAAATAGGCTTTTATTTGCTTTTAGAAGTAATATACATTAAGGACATTATTATCTGAAGAAAAAAAAATTCAATGAATAAAGAATTTTTACAAGAAGTGTTTGAATTTTTCTTTTAGATTTTTTTCATTTTTCTTTAATTTTAAAAAATGTTTTAAAATTCTTCCAAACAGTGTGGGTTAGGTTATTAAGTTTTTAAGTGAAGACTATATTTACTAAGCAAAAATTAAAAGCTTAATACAAGTAATGCTACCAAAACTTTTTACCATAATTAAATATATATATATATATATATATATATATATTTTTTTTTTTTTTTTTTTAGTATGTCTCATAATTAAAAGGTCATGTTTCAAGGCTTGTCTCCTCCTGGGGGAAAGCCCCTTGACATATAAGGGTCTTATCTCACTGTCAGTTATTAAATTAAAAATTAAATTGAGATAATAAAATTATCTCATTTATCAATTTAAACAATAACTGAGTGAGATATTTTAATTATTAATATAATAATAATTTTATTAGTTATTATCTCAGTTATTAAATTGAAAATGTAATAACTTAATAAAAAATTATTATCATTATCTTAGCTATTAAATAATGAAGGAGATAGAGGTAACTCAATAATGTAAGAAATTTTTATAGCATTTTAAATTATTATAAGAAACAAAAAAAACTTATGTCAATTTTGTCGCACTGTACTAAACCTGTCCACACATTCAGCCATCAAATTATCGATAGAGATGTGAAAATAACAATACACCAAGGTCAAGAAATATTTGTCTAGAAAATTTTATGCTATAAGTGATATTTGTTTCAGAACAGATTAATTTAACTTTAAATTTACTAATTTTACGAAAGTAATGTTTCAGAAATGTATATTTTATTTTAGTAGGATTTCCAAAACCGAAAAATAAGTTTGTTTACATTTCTCTAAAAAAAAGTTAAAAATGGCCGTTTTGATTGGTTTTTCGGAAGCATCGACTAAAAATCATTCAAATTTCTATTTGAAATACTCCACAGTATTTTTTTCTGAAATTAGAAAATTTAATCCTCTAGCTTTCAATTGAAGCTGGGGGGGGGGGAGAGAGAGCTTCGAAAAGGATTTTTCCTTTATGAAAAATATATTTAAACCTTAGCTATACAAATTTTTGGAGGTATCTAATGTAAACCTTTTTTAAGTGTATTTGTGCAAAAGTGAATGAAATTAATTCAGCATGCCAATCCCACTTACCCTGCCTATAACTGCTACATTACACCCACATCCGTTATAATAATAATAATAAAAATGATGATGACAATGCTGTGAGGTATTTTGAAATGATCACTCATTCCAAGTACACTGTACAACAAAATTGCTTAACTTTGGTGATTTTTGTGAAATCTGCTACTTCTAATGGGATGTGGCTATAATCACTGAATAGTCTTACCTTCTCTAAGAGTGAACACTTTTCTGATGGAAGACGACGTCTCAGCTGCAGATGCTGTTTCACTGGGATCTTGTTGACCCAACAGGAATTTCAAAGAGTTCATTTGGAACACAGGCTCAGAGATAAGCACTTGACTTACTCGATTACCACTAGGGAAGCAAGCAGATGCAAAAAGAGAAAAACAATTTTACACAACATTTGAAATAATTAAGAATCACAGGAGCTGTTTTTATGCTTCAGACATAAACCTTAACTTTTTACTTTCTAGAACTACTTCATTCTGAACATCTCATTATCTAAGAATTAAATTTTATCTTGAAGATATACATAATATACATAGCTATATATATATATATATATATATATATATATAAACTTGCTAGTTGTTTTATCAACATATTTCTTCCATTAAAATGCAAGTAATGACCATTAAAAGTGCTTGAACAAGAATCAACTGTTGTATTCTGGTAGACTTGCATGTCTTTTAATCTATCAACTGCTTTCTCTACTTTATATTTTGGTCAGCCTATGAACTTTTTGGCCAACCCTCATACATTCAATCTTTTTTTTTTTTTAACATGACACCAAACATTTGTTACATTGTACAAAATCAAGAATAAATCCCCCCCCCACACACCAAATTAAAAAAAGCTATACCTGTGGTCTTTAATAAAGATGTTCTGAAATATAGATAAATTAAATCTCTTAACCAGTAAATACAAAGATATGAATTCAGTTGGTTAAAAAAAAAAGCGCGATATCTACTCACTAAATTTATCATAATAATGTCAGATTAAAAAGTCCTTCAATTGTTTGAAAATTATTTTCTTTATGTTCCAGGTAAAAAAAATAGAGTTATTAGACATAGATTTCGCAATTACAGGTCAACATTTCTTAAATAAGGTAACTGGGCCTTGGTTTGCTGTGATGGCTTCTTGTAGTCTAATGGGAAAACACATCTTGCGTGAGGGGGTTTCTCAGATTAAAAAAAGGAATACGTATTCAATTCTTGTTGATAAGTACATTTCCTTTAATAAGATATTCAATCTCTAAGGTGGTAGAGACTAATTTTACTGTCTCCTGAAATATATGTTATGACAAATAATATCAGATTAAGAAATCTATTAAATGCTTATATATATATATATATATATATATATATATATATAAAGAAGTTAATGGTCAGAGTTAAATTAAACCAGGAAACCATATTACTAAACAAGTGCTCAATACACATATAAAAAGATAAAAATTTAACATGTAAAGCTTTTAATTCTAGAAAATTAGGAAATCAGCCAATTTCGCTACTTTGGTTTCAACCTTTTGGTCTCCTCAGGCGATTTCGGTCAATTGATTTCCTTAGACTTTATTTTTTAAAAATAAAAATTTATGAACGCTATATTTTTTATAAAATAAATAAATTAATAAGTGCACAACATGAAGTGTGGTAGAAGTTGAGGAGGGGAAAATGTATGTGTGTGGAAAAACACCTGATGATTGTGTGATAATAACATTAACCACCTTTGTTCACATGAAACGCTTACTTTCAGACTGCAGTAAAATCTAAGAACTGTGATTCCATATATATTTTATGTTTGCTCTGTTTTTGTATATATTTCATGTACCTTGCATTGAATAGTGTTTGTAGTGTCTACAAATTCTGCCTTATATATATATATATATATATATATATATATATAAAGGTAAAAGACCATAAGAAAGCTATATTATTAGCTGACGTATTTCGTCCAAAGTGGACTTTTTCAAAGCAAAAATGAAATGAAATTATTGAATACAAAGTGACTATTAACAACAAACAAAATGTCCTTAGCAACTGGAAGAATTTAGAAAATGCTATTGCATTCGTATTGTCAACTGAAAATTACGTCAAATACAGTCACGTGTGGAAATATTGTTTTTATTGTTGCGTTGACGGATTCAACCGTTTTCTTTTGATTTCTTGATACAGTTGTGTATGTTTGCTTGGGATAGTAGTAATTCTGCTAGGAAAGATGAAATAGGGAAAAAGCCTCAGCATAGATTAATATTTGGATAATATTCAATGGCAGCACTCTCAAGGATTTTCCTTCTGAGTGAGTTATTTTCTTTTTTTATGAGTGTAGCATTTTTAAAATCAGAATTGAGGTTGAATTTATTTCTATGTATGACTAGTGCATTAGTTATGTTGTTTTTTATGAGGTCTCTTTTGTGCTCATAAATGCATTTTTTTAAATTTCTACTTGTTTCTCTAATATATTGCAAGGAACAGTTTTGGCAATTTATTTTATAAATGCCGGCTTCAGAAATATTATTGCTATTAGTGTTTGAGGATCTGAGTATATCCATAATGATTTTGGAAGTGTTTGTAACTATTTTAACATTAAATAATGGGATAATTTAGATGGGTAGGTTGTTCTGGATAGTGGACATGACAGAGTTGATTGGTAGTATTTATTATGCATCAGTTTTCATGTAATTTCTTATTGTGGATTA